AGGAAACCATAAAACTTCTAAGAAAAAATTTCACGCTGAAGAAAAAGAAGGAGGGAAACGAATGAATGTTTTTTCGAGAAAAAAATAGCAATTTCAGCTGATTACGAAACATTATGGGTACTGCAATGTTCTTTTCAGCGGGAGATAAAATTCAACTTAAATCAACAATAACAGTTCATATTGCAAACATTAACTAGACTGACGGGTCACCCCGGCCTAACAGAAGACCGAGATAAAATAAAAGTACCTATTTTAAACTTTTTCATTCCATTTGAGCGGTTAGGTACAGGCTTGCAATATTTTATTGCGTAATATGTAATATATAGCGTGTCGTTACAACGGCGACATTAAATGAACACACGTCTAACACTACTTGTCAATAATCATAAAAAATATTAACGTTAAAAGAAATATATAATTAAAAAATTTTTTTTTCAACCAAACTAATTAACTAAAAAAGAAACAAAATTTGTAACATCCTATACAACTACAACTGACTGATTCATACATTCAGAGACTTTTTCATTCGTTGCCACAGCGTCGCATTACAAGCCTCTCCTTTTAACAATATGTTGTGTCTCTTTTAATTTCATTCATCCCATTCATATGCTTTGTGACCTTTACAAATGAACTTTACGTTACAGTTTTATACTTAAGGCTGTTCTAAAATTGTTTGTTTTGGAAAATTTTATAACTCGTTAAATATTGATGTTTAAAGAATGTAAATTTTTCAATACTATTTTAAAAATTTATCCTCTATATGTGTGTTCATTTATTGTCGCGATTGTAAAGACATGCTATATATAGCTATTAATAGGTATCTACAGGCAACAGAGGACCTTTAGCTTCAAGTCGAACGAGTGCTCTCCAGTTTTTTTAAAGTGATGAAGTATGGTATTAATTCATTGTACTCTAGAATGTTTAAATCGATGGTACCGATTCCAGAAAATGTTTGATTGCAATTTTAAGTATTGATTAACTACGTGCTTGGTGATGAAGGAAAACACCTGAGGGAACTTGCATATCGAAGAAGAAATCCAAATTCTTTTTCAAGAGTATGTGACGTATGTCTATTCATATTAATGAATCATACTCGAATTTACCTTAATGCAATTTATCCGGAAGAGGCTATTGCCTATTCTATTTTAAAATCATGTGCAAATACAAAGAAGCAGCTTGTTAAGTCGATATTGAACTGTATTTAAAATTGTTTCTCTAAAACATTGAATTAATAGTTTATTTGGCATAATATATTTATTTTTTCATATTTCTTTAAATTCTCTCAAGTTTTCTTTTAAATCTGTGTTAAATGTTAATTAATTATTAAAGTGTTAATTATTTTAATCTTCTCAATTAAAATAATTTAATAATATAATAAAATAATTTCAAAAAGATTGGGCATCATCATGATCATCTTTGAAGCCTGTTTGCGTCTACTGCTCAACATAGGCTTCCTGGACGGATCGCAACGAATCCTGAGCTAACCAGCATCTATCGACTTCCCTTACACTTGCACAGATCGTCACCTCCAATCTAGTGGGGGATCGTCCTACACTACGATGGCCAATACAAGGCTGCCACTTGAGAACCTTTCTTCCCCATCGGTTTACCGGGTTTTTCGAAATATATGGCCGGCCTATTGTCAATTCAGCCTACAAAGTCCCTGAGCCATGTCGAATGCCTTTGTTCTCTAATGAAGCCATCCGCTTCATTTCGAACTCTATTATGCAGCAAAATACCTAGCATAGACCACTCATTAGCTCACTGGGCGATTTTCAGCAACCTTATATTACCAGCAGTGAAGGAAGAAGTCTCAATTTCCCTAGGTCATCTCTGGCAACAAACGTTAATACAAGACTTATTATCTAAAAAATAAACATATAGATCTATATTGTATATATAAAATAAATATTATGAATAAAAATAAACATATAGATATCAATATTGTATATAATACATATATAAATAGAACAAAACCAGACGGAAACCTTCGGCAGGGGAGACCAAACGGCTGAGGGTTAGAGTAAAAGGGAAAGACTAACTGGCGGACGATGCAGGCGGTATCGAGGAGCACCCCTTCTGCATTTGAGCTTGGAGCGTTCAGTTCCGGAGTCCCAGTCGCCTCAGATGTTCGGAGAGGCTGACTGGGTTTAACCCACTCGCAGACACGACTATCGGGATAATTTCGGTCGGCATACCAACCCACATGTCGGTCACCTCGTGAGCCAGGTCCAGATACTTTGTCTGCTTATTTGTTTCGGCTTTCACGAGGTTCTCGTCATATGGAATGGTAATGTCAACCAAAAATACTGTGCCCGGTCCATCACCACGATATCAGGTTTGTTCGCGAAAATCGTCCTGTCCGTGAAGATGGGCCGGTCCCAATAGAGCATCCATTTCCGAGCACGGCCTCCGGAGAGTACTTGTTGTACAGCAGTTTCCGGTCTACGAGGCCGTATTTCAGAGCGAGCTCCTAGTATAGGATTCTTGCTACTAGGTTGTGTCTATGCAGATACTCAGAGTTAGAAAGCATGGAACAACCGGAAATAACATGCCGAAGCGACTCCCCGGGATGGCGACAAGCTCAACAGATGTCTACGGTACCATCCCTAGGAGGTATCTCCGATATTTGTTCGTCTTAATATCCTGATCCTGTATCGCTCAGACAAAACCTTCGGTTTCCCCAAAGAGGTCACCAAAAAGTAGCCAGTTAAGGAAGGCAAGAGTATCTACAAAAGGCTCGTGCAGAGCCTTGTAGAAGCTCCCCTGGAGCTCTTTCTCCTTCCATACAGCCTCCCGGTCAAAAACGCTCAGTACTCCTGGGTCCTGCCATTGCTCGTTGGCTAAGGATAGAGGGGTAAGTCCTTTATCACAACTAATGACGTCCGTACAGATTGGCTCATCCGATCTCGCCAGAAAGTAGTTGCGGAGGCTGCACACCTCGCGATTGTGCATGGTGAGGGCGCTTAAAAAGCCCTTCCCGCCATGCTTCCGCGGCAAGTACAGGATCATCACTGACGATCTCGGATGATGCATCCTGTCGGACGTTATAGTTGTGCGGACTTTTCGGACTATTATTATTTTATTATTTTTTATTATTAATTATTTTTCAAAAATTGAGGGACGTTAGACGAGAACATATGCCGAACGCTGCATTGGATTCACCTAAATGAACTCTATCCCATGGAAGAGAGGCAAAGCTCTGGTTTGGTATACTACTTGTGTAGACAAAATGGCGGCCTCTCATTTAAGGAGTACTTCAGTCGGGACTAGGTTGGAATGCAGCTGAAATAAGTGAATGGCGAGGAAATACAGCATTGTTGGTTTTTTATTCTGTAATTTATTTATATTTTACATTTTTAGGTTTATAATTTATCATTATAAAATGTTATTATAAAATTTATTTTTAAATTAGCAAAACAACAAAACCGTTGCTTCCTAACATAAAGTAAGTCACCGCTTAGTGTCAATACAAAAGCGGAAAAATTTTTAAGACACCTAAATTCCATAAATTCCAAGTGTTGGTGGTGTCACTGACAAATCTACAGGTTAGTGAAGTCATTCACAAAATAGGCTGCAAAAAACTTATTGCTGATAAATGAAATACCGCCAGTGAAAGGGATAGCAGTTTGTGACCACACAATAGGTAACATCAACCATTCCATTATATTTGATATACCAAAATCCCCGCAAAGGAACTCCACAGGCTCCTACTAGAAATTATTTGCGGGGCTATTGAAATCGAAACAAGTAATAATTTCAATAGAAAAGATTGTTAAATTAAAGTTAGATAAAGTGGGACTTTGCCGTCCGCTCATATTTAATAAATAATTTACAAAGTTATATAGAAGAGCATCAGTAACTTAAGCCCTTAATATATTGTACTACGTTGACAGAAACAGTATTCATTGAATGAATTATCAAATCGTTTAGGACAAATTGTGGACACAAGCAAACTCATTGGTAATAATACTCCTGCACATCCATCGGGACAAGTCAACACCGCTCTTCTAGAATTTAACAACATACGATCACACTGACGGGTTGCTTGACTTAAACCTGATTAACCACGCCTTGTCTTAAGTGTTTTTTAGAATCACATCATTCATCTGATCATTCATCTTTTTTAAATAATTTAAACTCTTTGTCCAGTTAAAAATTCGTTTCTAACTTATTCGTTGTAACTAAATATACAGAGGCTGAATCCTAAAGGCTATGCATAAATAATTATCAAACAAGTGAAAGTAGTAATTTTATTTAAGTCTGGTCGCATTACAATCTATAGAAAAACAACTCAACTAACAAGTTTTGTTTTAAGTTTTGAATGATTAAAAATATTTTTAATCCGCACTGTTCTTCGTTTTAATATTTCTTGCTTACAAAACTCGTGTAAGTAATAACCCTCTTAAAGAAGTCTATCTTATTAGCATAATTGATATTGCTCCTAATTCCCTGTGCGTTCATTATAAAAAGAGCCTTCTTGTGTTTAGAACTTGAGTAGTCTCCGTATCGCACCACCTTTGGCTCTCCGTAGCGGTATAAAACAAAAGACTGAAGTAGTTCGTAGATCGATTTTCTTCAGTATTTTTGTTATTACCAAATTTAGTTTTTCATTAAATGCACGTAGTAAGTGATTTTTGTAAAAGTTAAATAAAAAAAAAGAAAATCATTTATATTAAATAAAAGGCAAATATTAACATATGTCACTATTTACTTTCTGAACTGAGGTCCTTTATCCTGTCCACATTTTGAAATTGAGTGCTGAAGCCACTATTTTATATTAGAGTTTCTAGCCATCTTATGTCCAAACATGATCGAATTTTTAACTTCAAATTAATATCTAAAATTAAAATTTTACAAAAACTAAATAGATGTCGTCACTTTCATAATTATTTCTTTATACAAAAAAAACAATTTTTAGTATATTTTCTGTTTCAGGAATAAAAATGGCATTGGAAAGTCTTGATCCTAGAGCAGCCATATTAGGATGGGATGGTCAGATGTCAGCCTATCATTCCAATCAGACCGTTGTCGACAAGGTTCTACCAGAAATGTTACATTTAATCGACCCACATTGGTGAGCAATAGGAGTATAAAGATTTAACCAATTCGTTCTGCATATTCACGAAATTTTTTAATATTTTCTTCTATCAACTGTGGATACTAAGCAAAAAAGCGTTTAATTTGCAATGAATATACTTGCTATAAACATTGCAAATTAAACGCTAAAAGCTTATTTTTTAAAATGTTAATGTTTTAGGTACCAATTTCCACCAATGAATCCACTATGGTACGGGCTGTTGGGTTTTACCATCGCCGTTTTAGGTTTCATCTCAGTCACAGGAAATGCTATGGTCATATACATATTTACCACCACAAAGGTAAATTAATCGATAATTAAAAACACAAGTATGAACTGAGCTTTGATATTGATAGATATTTTTTTTCTGTAGAGCCTCAAGACCCCGTCGAATTTACTCGTTGTCAATTTAGCAGTTTCGGACTTCTTAATGATGGCTTGTATGGCTCCACCTTTAGTTGTAAATTCATACAATGAGACATGGGTATTCGGTAAGTATTTTAAATTTTTTTTGCCTTTGTTGATTATTAACAGTTGCAAAAAAAAAGAACAAAAGCAGCTCTTATATTTTTTTAACTCTTTCACACGGTAGAAATGATGTAGCCACGTTATAAAAGTTTCAAGTTCCCAGTTGAGTGAACTTTTAATTCCTCACACTGAGGTCAATGTAAGCAATGACTTTTGCTAAGACATAAATCCCACAAACTTTCTAATTTCAGCTGATTGTATGTCCGATTGACTAACTCGTTGACTTTTTTAATTTAGTACTAAGTATACGTATTGGAGTAAGTATAATGTATTTGAGAAATAGATTTAATTTTTTCTTTAATTTAGGACCACTATTCTGTGCAATTTACGCTTGCGGCGGGTCACTGTACGGAACCGTTTCTATATGGACAATGACAGCTATCGCCTTCGATCGATACAACGTGATTGTCAAGGGCATTGCAGCTAAACCCATGAGCATCAATGGAGCATTGTTACGTATCTTCGCTATCTGGGTGTCTTCACTCGCATGGACTGTCGCGCCTATTCTTGGATGGAACAGGTAATAAACATAAATCTTTAATATAGCAGTGGTACGGCTACGCAATAGCCTTCAATGTTGCACGAATGGGCAGGCCCGTCCGGGGAAGTACCACGTTCTTTTTTTTTTTTTTTTTTTTTTTTTTTATGCGAAAAGTTGTCAAACGAGCAGACGGTTCACCTGATGTTAAGTGAATACCGCCGCCCATAGACATCTGCCACACCCGAGGGTTACAGAAGCGTTGACAACCTTTTGAAAATTGGGCTCCGGCTACCCCACTCACCAGACGAAACGCGAAAGTATTTGTCATACTTTCACTTTACGCTGGTCTTCTGTGAGGTCGTGGTACTTATCCGGACGGGCCTGCCCATTCGTGCAACAGCCGAGGCTGCTGCATGGCCCTACCACCGTTAGACGTTCTCACAGAAGACTGGCGTAAAATGGAAATGTTACGCTTCTGCGTTTGTCTAGTGAGTGAGGTAACTTTATTAAAAGGTGGCAATGTATCTACAATCCTACTGGTGCTGCAAATATCCACGGGCGGCTGTTATCACTTGTAACATCAGGTGAACCGTCAGCTCGCGTGCCACCTCCTCACATAAAGAAATAAAAAGACTCTATATTGGTTTCTATTATTATTCAATTATCAATATATAGCGGGTTTATATTACTTCCTGAGTTTCTTGGACCTATGCTCAAACATGTTATGCGGCGTGTTTGTTTTATTATAGGTATGTTCCTGAAGGCAATATGACTGCGTGTGGAACTGATTACCTCACTAAGGATTGGTTTAGCCGTAGCTATATTCTTGCTTATTCAATCTTCTGCTACTTCTTGCCGCTGGGTCTAATCATCTATTCTTATTTCTTCATAATTCAGGTATTTTTTTTAAATATACGTATGCAATAGCAAAGAACAAAAGAATAAACAACTAACAATTCATTTATATCATCATAGGCTGTTGCAGCTCATGAAAAAGCTATGAGAGAGCAGGCAAAGAAGATGAACGTTGCTTCTTTACGATCATCAGATGCAGCCAACACTAGTGCCGAGTGCAAATTGGCAAAGGTAAAAAAGGACTGTAATTTTTTCAAAATGTTATTGTTTAAAAAATGGGATCAAATGCGAGTTGAATTCGTACGCCGAGGGTTCCGTACCTACTCATTTTACTGCCATAATAAAATTGATAAATAATCACCATCGGTTTTTTTTTCAAGAACGCGTGAACCGAGCAAGTTAAAATTTATACCTTAATTTTCAACTCAGGTCCTTGATTTTTATTCACCTAATAGCAACTATAGACATCAGTATCTGGTATAAATTTCAACTTGCTAGGTCCACCCATTCCTGAGAAAATCGGTGGTGACACACGGACAGAAAGACGGACAAGAAAGTGATCTTTTAAGGGTTTCTTTTTTTACTTTTTATGGTCCGAAAACCTAAAGAGATCTATACATAGGAATTTTATAGTGCTAATCTGTACTCTTAAGATAATACGTTAAAATTTGTAGAACAAAGTACGAAAAGTGTTTCGCCGCTTCGGGATTCGCGCCCAGACGCTTTAACCTCAACGCTAAGCGGCTTATTGCCACACCGACGAAAATCTCAACGTCTTTTATTTGTTGTTATATCCTTTCCAACATACAAACAATTTCGAATATCGTTTTAAAATGATAATACGCGGCGAAAAACTTTTCATACTTTTTTCTAAAAATTTTATTGTTTCATCTTAAGTGCAGAGATTAGCACTATGAAAATTTAAATTTCTAATAGCAATGCAACTTTTCGAACTTTTTACTACAAATATTAATATACATAGGAATTTAATTAAAGTTTATTAATTGTAGTTATATTTTGAAGGTTGCCTTGATGACCATCTCATTGTGGTTTATGGCGTGGACTCCATATTTGGTAATCAATTTTGCCGGAATATTTGAGACCGCACCAATTAGCCCCCTTGGAACAATTTGGGGCTCTGTTTTCGCCAAAGCTAACGCTGTTTATAATCCAATTGTATATGGCATTAGGTAAGATAATTTGTTACACAATACGTACATATATTTTTGAGAACTTTCATTTCATACCCATGCTTGGCAAATAAATTCATTTTATTATTTTTATTTGTATCAAGGCCACGCAGCGGGTTCTGACTTTCTGCATAGAAGACTGGCGTGAGATGGAAATATTATAGTTTTACGATTAGTAACCGGGTCTTACTTTTTCAATGGGTGGCAACGTATCTGCAATAAATACTTGGGCTGCTATATTCACTTACGGTGTATCGCCTCTCGCTTGCCAATAATTGATATTAAAAATATTACTGTTAGGACAATGCGAAAAGTAAATGAAGTACAAAAAAGGTAAAGTAGTCCAAAAATCAACGGATATCTATATTACGTTGAGTTACCGTACGGTTTTTAGTCATAAATAAGAGATAGGGATTTTTGCAATAAAGGAAGCGGTGGATAAGAAATGTCTCAATAATTCACTCAATATCTTACAATTTCAGCCATCCCAAATACAGAGCAGCGCTATACCAAAGGTTCCCTGCACTGGCATGTCAGCCTTCACCTGATGAGAATACATCTGTTGCATCGGCTAAGACAGCTGTTTGTGAAGAAAAGCCTTCTGCGTGAATCTTAATTAGAAGACGGCGTGAAAATTCGCGACACCACGACTCTGCTCTACCCAGGACTTGAAAATGCCAACGGAATGTAAACTATCCGCAACGACTGAAAAAATAATTACGAACACAAAACGCGAACTACATATTTCTTATTAGCCTATATAATTATACATAAGAAAAGTATATCTGGCTAAGATAAAAAAAGACCAGTGAACCGCACAATGTCTAATACATGAAAACGTAATTTTCGTATAACGACTGAGTGCAAAGCATAATAATTATTTTAAATAACCTTAATTGTATAACAATAGTTCACGTTTTGTGTAAATATTTATGTTTTAAAGTCAACCTTTGCTAAAAGTATGCAGATGTAACTAAAAAATGTAAAAAAAAATGTTATTATCCTATGTAAACTTTATAATCCAGACTCTGTTCTCCTTACTACTCCAATTTATTTATAAGTATCGGGGATTTTTTACGACGAATACGGTACGTTTAACGGACTTATGATTAAAGCCAAATAGCCTTGTACAAAACTGCACACGTGATTTTTATTTTTTTTCACTTTCCTAATTACTTATCACGTAGATTTTGAACTAGCTTTAGTAGAGCTCATGGCATATAGTTCAAATTCAAATTCAAATCCAAATCAAATTCAAATCATTTATTAATCGAAATAAGAAATATACATTTCATTTATCGATAGTCATTTTTAAATCTACCACCGTTTCGTAATGAGGTTCCTCTAACGGAGAAGAAACAGGCGAAAGAAACTCCGTAGGTATCCTCTTTTTTGTCATTTTTTTACTGAACAAATACATAGTTATACAGTACATATTTTTTTTTTAGAAACAGCTTAGGAGCGATCATCTCATTACCAGGGGTTATTATCGTAAATGTATTCATTTATGTTATAATAACCCTTTTTAAAAAGGTTTTCTTTAATAATTTTCCTAAACCTGTTAATAGATAGGCTTTGCACCTTAACTGGGATTTTGTTGTAGAAGCTTAAACACCGTCCCATGAACGAGTTACTGACTCTATGGAGTCTAGTAACTGGCGTTACAAGCTTGTGTTTGTTCCTAGTGTTTACATTATGTACATCAGTATTCTTATTAAAATTATTAATGTTTCTATGTACATACATTACATTTTCATATATATATTGAGAGGCCAAGGTTAAAATATTTATTTCTTTAAATTTCTCTCTTAGAGATGCATTCAAATTAAGATTGTAAATTGCTCTTATGGCCCCTTTTTGCAAAATAAATATTGTTTCAACATCGGCTGCATGCCCCCATAGCAAAATACCGTATGACATTATGCTATGGAAATAACTAAAATAAACGATTCTAGCTGTATTTACATCAGACAGACATCTTATTTTCCTTACAGCATATGTTGCAGAACTTAGTCTGCTAGCAAGTTTGGATATATGGGGGCCCCATTGAAGCTAGCTGAAAAGCAGTGGTATCCACAAGGCGTAACTCGTCCCCATTTATAAGTACATTGGCACCACCCCAAGTGTTTAACATTAGGTGTCGAAAATTTTATACATTTAGTTTTATTGCCATTTAACAGAAAATTATTAGCATTAAACCAATGAACTATTTCTGACATAGCATGATTTACCTCGTCAAGTGTTACAATACGTCGCTTAATTTTAAATATTAATGAAGTATCATCGGCAAACAACACTATGTCATGTTTTTTTCCTACTAAGTCGGGTAAATCATTAATATAAACGAGAAAAAGGAATGGGCCGAGAATCGGACCTTGCAGAACGCCCATTGATATCATCGACCCAGAAGAACTAGCACCATTAATTACAACTTTCTGAATTCTTTTACTTAAATATGACTTAATGGCGTAATTTCCTGATAATTGTTTCATTATTCACGCAATCAAAAGCCTTGGAAAGATAACAAAAAACACCCAGAGCATCCTGTGAATTTTCCCAAGCCTCAAATATATGCTTAATTAGTTCTACACCAGCATCGGTTGTAGAACGACCCCTTGTAAAACCAAATTGATTTTTGTGTAATAATTTGTTTAAATTAAAATGTCTTAACAGCTGATCAAGAATAAGTTTTTCGAAAATTTTACTAAGAGTCGGTAGAATAGAAATAGGTCTAAAGTTAGTGGGGTCAGAAGAACTACCGGATTTAAATAAAGGTATGACTTTACTGTGCTTCATCAAATCAGGAAATACGCCAGTTTCTATACAATTATTAAATATTATAGTCAAATGAGGTGCAATTACATCTATTATTGAAGCAGTCACTTGAACGGACATCCCCCATATATCTGCCGTTTTCTTAAGTTCAATACTGTTAAACATTTTCACAATATCTTTTGAATACAGTCTGGAATTTCAAGATTGTGGAGCAAGCACTTACATTTACCTTAAGTAATGTCTCGGCAACAGCCGGAGAAGAATTCAGGGACAATGTAGTTAAAAAAGGAATCTCACTAAAGAATTTCACAAATACTCAACCACCTCCTGAATATTCGTTATAACTTTATTGTTAATATTAAGTTGGTAGTCAGAACTACGCGATTTGTTCCTTCCCGTTTCACTATAAATGATATTCCAAGTCATTTTTACTTTATTAGAAGCATTTTAAATTTTATTGCTTAAATGTAATGACTTGACTTGGCAAAACACACTTTTTTTTTAATATTTTTGAATAACTTTTAACAAAATGTCTTAGAATGGTTGTATGATCTTTCACTATAAAGTTCATACAATCTTCGTCTACTTCGGTGGTTTCCTACCATTAAAAGTCTTACGACTGTTCTAAGAGAATGTTTTAGAAGTAAAAACGGCATTATATTCAATCATTAAGAAATTAATAATTAAATAACTATACAAGTCGTTACTATTGTTAAAGTATGGCAGCATAGGAAGTTTTTTTATTACATTACTTCTAAACTTCTCCTTGCGAAATGTATTTATCGGAACAAAAACAGCTTTCTTAGTACCTTCGATTTTACTGACCTTAAACAAGGTGACAAACTGTCCGGAATGGTCAGAACTTAATTTATGAATTATTATTCTGTGCAAGGATTTGACATCTGTGAAAATATTACCTATACATGTTGCACTTGACTCTGTTATTCTTGTAGGTTCACAAAACAAGTTGATAAGGTTAAATGATTTTAGCAAAGAGCGGAATCTTATATTGATGGAAGAAGCTTCTAGGAGATTGATGTTAAAGTCTCCGCATATGACGACAGATTTATTCTGTTAATGAAGTTTATGCAAAACTTCTTCCATAGTTTTTTCAAAACATTCATACAAGGCAGAAGGCGGTCGGTAAACGCTGACAACAATGAGATGCTCAAGCTCAACACAAGCCATTTCTATAGTTCTTTCAACAGAGAGGCTCAATAATATCACAAAGCGCCGCCACGTAACGCTTTTTCTCTATTGAAAGATCTAGTATACTCCCTTTCTTCTTGTAAAAGGCTCACAACATTATTTATTAAATACCCTTCTCGCTTAAAAAGAGCTCACAATATGTTTTTTACAGAAATGGGGGGAAAGCACTTGGCTCCATGAAAACAGCTCATTAACGCCTTGTACGGTGAGCGCCGACCAATCCACGCACTTCCTCCCAAGAGCTGATAATTAACAAATTCAATCAATCAAATTTGCTACTAAAACAGCTTAACCACTTATTTACCTCTAAAAATATTATTTTAATTAAAAATCCAGAACAAATATTGTTAATTTAAAATAAATCTAATTTTAAACTTAACAGACAAATTAAACAGATCCATCTAGCGGGAGACAAATCATTACTTATCGGTCCCATTTACACATTATTTTACAAGTTATTGAATGATTCGTTGAGTATTCAGAAACGCAGTGATAGTTAATCGAAGTTTATACTAAGCATAACTTTATTGAACCAATGCCTAATCAGGATTAAAACGGGCATTACTTATACAAGCCTCCGACAAATGCAACGAGACAGACTCAATCCCTTTCTTACTTTCTGACCCCTGCTTGCTTGTGTTTAATACTTGCTTGTTGATCGATTGCCTTACTTGTACTCAAACCCTGGTCTTGTAATCCCGCAACATAATGCGGCGAAATCTGTTAGTCTTCAACCAAAACCATACGAAGCACTGATGAGGTGCAGATCACCCACGCAACCGACACAAGACGCATTACTGCATACAGCCGCAAGCATCAATAAGACTATCAGTGGTGCACCCTCGCACTATACACTCCAGTCAACTTTGGTTCCAATGGTTTCAACATACGAACATGTTGAAATCATTGGAACCGAAGTTTACCAGAAGGGTCCAAACATACTTTCTCCTGAGCCGAATGACAACCACCATCAGACTCAATTCCCAAATGATAGCCGATGTATCATAGTGAAGTACACTAAGATGGTAACCACCACCAGACTCTAAGTCAAATGATAGCCGATGTATTATAGTGAAAATACACTAAGACGCCAAGCTTCACCCGCACTTCGACAATATGAGTAACATTAAGACATATTAACCATGTTAACCGTGGTCTATATTGGACAAAAAGCACCATGCAACTATCTTTATCAAGTCCATTCATTCGAGCCATCTACGTTTCCACGTCTTATAATAATCTGTTGCCTTGACTACATGATTCGTTCAATCAATTATTTCTACTTTTGTCATTTCAAGTTTATGTGTCATTCATTTTATAAGCTTCCATTTTTACCTGTGTTGTAAAACCCTAAAACTATTATACTTTATACAAAAACACGCACATTGTGTTTTAATTTTATTCCGTTATCGAACACCGTCCATTATATTATCGTCAGTAGAAGCACGGTGTGTCCCCTGGGACAATGCTCGGGTTATAGGGTTTGATTCTCCGAGGCCCGCACCGGCCCGACTCTCAGGTACCGGACTGTAGAAGACCCCGGTGTGTGTGTTACCGATTTCATCGTATGTTTTTATTTTAAGTAATAATATTCTTATCCCTATATATATAAAAATGAATCCTTTAGTCACGCCATCACGCGTGAATGGCTAGACCGATTTCAATTTTTTTTGTTGTTTTTGTTATTATCTGGTTCTTGTGAAAATTAAAAAAAATGCCTTTATAAGTCAATTTGAACTTTAATACCATACTATAAAATTTAAGTGTTAGTGCAGGGGTTCCGGGAAGGCAAAACAAGTGAGTGACTGTGGTAAAATGTCACTTGAAATGTAAACGTCTCTTTGCTGTGCATCACTACATATTATAAAACAAAGTCATCCCGCTGTCTGTCTGTCCCTATGTATGCTTAGATCTATAAAACTACACAACGGATCTTGATGCAGTTTTTTTTACTAGATAGAGTGATTTAAGAGGAAGGTTCATATGTATAATACATTGCACCCGTACGAAGCCGGGGAGGGTCGCTTGTCTTCTTATATATATTCCTTACACTTCATTAAGGAATGATGAAGATAAAATTTACATAAGCCAGTTGTGTTAGTTTGTAAAATAACCAATACCGAAAGTTATTCTCGGCTATCGTAATAGGGATTGAAGAGAAGGCGTTACTGAGTAGAATTAAGATTTTTTTTGTTCTTTCTACGTTATTGTTTGCATTGCATCTTTCTTTGTTTTGAGTGAAATATCAATTATTAAATTTTATTTAGCAATATATTTAAGAAACATCTTGAGGTTTCTTAAAACTTTTGGTGAAGTTTGCGTGATGCCTGCAATGCATTCTTATAATGAAATAATATTTTGAGTCTAAGCCCTCTAAATAATAACTGTACTTTGACCTAAATATACAAAGGGATGTATGTGCATATAAACAATCAATAAATAAACCTTGAAATCCAAGTTAAACAGAATTAGATCATAGCCGTAACATTGTATCGGAATGTTAATCCTTTAATACTGCAAAGAATCTTAAGATATTGTTTAATACCCTGTGGTAATCTTGAAGCCCCGCAAGTCCCTACATAACTTCATAAGATAAATATTTTAAGATAAGCATACTTAACTGTTATTTTTATTGAATAAAAATTCTTTTTTCGACCTGAGAATGGTCTTAATTTTTATAAATTTTTTCTGTTTTCGAGTTTTGTATCCGTATTTTCAGAATCAACTAATAAAAACAATTTACTTATCCAATATTTACGAGGTTCCATGTGTAAATGCCTTTGTAGAAGTGAGGGACCCTTGTGATGGTGTGTGACTGGCGATAATCGTATTGATTTATGTTGCGTTTAGTGTCACTGCCTCTTACAGGGGCATAGAAAATTCCGCTATTCACAATGGTGAGTCTTGCATCTCGCTTTGACTCACATCTCAGTAGATTCGTCCAAGTCGGGTTCCTTGTGACGGAGCTGCAGACTGTCTGACCTCCCTGATTTTTATTTAACAACACAAATGAATCTTTACGAAAATTTTTCACCATTTGAATGTATGAAAACAACTTGCTGGTGGGTGAGATAGGCTCGATCGAAACACATTATGCTCAAAATCCGTTACACTGTCCGTTATCTGATGACCAATTATATTCCTACCTGATGCTAATTATAATTATAACTATAACAAGTATAGCTAAATCTGACTATTATATTATGCTTATTACTATATTGCAATGGTTTGTGGAGCTTTTACCTCATGCGGCTGGCAGCGGGCGCGAGGAGACTCTCAAGGCTGCGTCCGAAAGCACCTCAACGTGCCAACCATACCCTTCGGGCAAGCAGTGGACTCACAACGCGTGCTGACCACGCAATTAGTGGTGTTGCACAAACGAACACTAATATTACGTCTTTAGTCGGGGCGGTCTGGCAAGGTGCTGCCTCTTAGGGAGGGCTTATTTTAGGGCCACAGTGCCTGAATGTATTCGACGTATGCCGAACCATACGCCGGACATTCATCGAAGCTGGTTGTGTTGTCGCCTTTTGTAACGTTTACACACATTGAAATGCGCGACTTCGGTCGAAGTTTGTGCTTACACAATTACTAAAGGGCCAAGCTCTCTTTATGCTGATACACCAGTTTTGCAATGAACACTAAGAATCTTTTCTCCAGCTTATTTTATGTAATTATGCAATATTCGCGTAATTAACAGAAATAAATAACACGAGTATTTCGTAGACTTCAAATTGAAATAATAATTCCCGCTTTTCTTTTGTAAAAAAATCTTTTATTGGGGACATTTGTATAAATTTTGTACATGAAAAGATATTAGTTTTCGGCTTTTTTGTTAATTTTATATTTTCATCTATTACGGTTTCGCATGGGGCAATGTAGATATTGAATTTCCCCGCTTTTATCTACTACTAATTTGCATGTAAACTACCTTTTTTTTATTCAAATGTACCTTTTTTATTCAAAACCTGCCAGCACTTGACTGCCATCGCACCCGATGGTAAGTGGCGATGCAGCCGTTGATGGTAAGCTTGCTAGCTCAGTAGAAACCTATTCAGTATTGCCTTGAAGACGCCTATGTTGTATTTGGACGGAAAGACGGACGCCGGCAGGTTATTCCATTCCTTAGCTTTACGCATGATAAATGAGGAAGGATCGCTTTGTTCTTGTGCGTGGATCGTCGACAGCATAATGGTGGAGTCCCGCCGAATGCCTGGTTGTCCGATGATGGAGGGGGGGGGGGGGGGGGGGGGAATAAGACCATGCAACTCCAACGCGTACTCTCCAAAATGTATCCTGTAGAAAACCGAGAGGCTGGCTACTCTGCGCCTGTGCTCAAGGCTAGTGAGATTGGTTTTAACCAAGTTGCGGTCACCAATGAGCCATTCCGCACGCCTCCCCATTGAGTCTAAGGAAGCCAGATGAAGTACCGTCGCACCTTTGCAAGGGCCCTTAACTTCCTTGCAGCTACCCTGGCTTAAGACTCAATGTATCACCTGAAATTGAGGTTTGAGGATATTTCGATTCCCAACAACTGTAGGCGGTCGGTAAACTTCAAGTAAACATTCTGTAAAGTAGGAGCCAAGTTGAAAAGGCTCCTTTTTGCGGATAAAAGACACGTCTGCGTTTTGGAGGCGTTGAATCTCACAAGATTGGCATCGCCCCATTCAGAGACCGCCTGCAAATTCAAACACTCTACCATGGCCTATTTTTCTGATTGGATGTGATATCTACTGACCCGAAGACTCGATTGGCACCTCCACAACTGTGCTGTTGTCCATGTACCCACAGACAAAGGGCATGAGCAGATCGTTAATATGCAGTAAAAAAAGAGTTGCGGAGAGGACGGACCCCTGGGGTACTCCCGCATTTGAGGTCAGTGGCTCGGATGAACAGCCTTCGACGACTACTCGGAGAGACAGCTCACATAGAAAGTCCTTCACCCAACCGATTAGGCCAGGAGATATGTCTCCAAAATTTATACCCTGGATAGACCAGCTACGCCGTATCTGTAGGACATCGTATTTGCGCCTCCGTCAAGAAAAGTAGATGCTTTTGTCAGTAACTAGATGGTGGTGGACAGAACAGGGATTCGAGTGCAGAACTCGAATATTAGAGAGGTGCACTTGTAAAGCGAGGAAGTGCATCTGCTGTGTGAACCTACTTTTCTTATTCTGATTATTCATTTAGTATCTAGGGTGAATAGGATGGAGGATGGCAGTTAAACGAGGACTTGCAATCTTACCCAACAACGCAACCAGAGTCACAGCACCGCAGAGGGTTTGATCTGGAGATTGCGGGGATGCCCAAACTTCCCCAGGGATCGCCATCAGGTCCTCACACCCGGTCGCCAACCGGCACGACATGGCCACCCTGGGATTATGTACAGTTGGCGAGGAAGTCTTTCGTGCGTGGCTGGCACACTACTTGGGCTCTCTATTAACAGCCTGCGGCCAGCGGAGTACCGTACTTCGGATCCCGCTCCCCTTGCGATTAAGCACCCAATACTGAAAAACTTGCATCATACCGCTTCATCAGATATCATGACAGATAGTTTTTTCGCATCAGGGTGTTTGTCCACGTGAAATTTATGTTTGAAAAACGTCCTTACAACACAGGATAATGTTATCCTAAAGTAAAGGCAATATTTTTAAAAACAAAAAAAAATAATCAAAGCCACGCATTCTTTCCGCAGTCGGCCAATTAGAACTCGCGCAAAGGAGTTAACGTCTTAACCTTCTCATACATTATGTTTATCTTATTATGAATATTGAGTTAAGTACATTCTTCTTTATTACAGCTATTATAAAAGCGACTCACGGCAAAGCAAACCACGAGTAGTCTCCCGATCGCAGCCCGGCTTCCTGCCGAGGTAAAAGTAGAAGACTGAAGTAGTTCATGTATTGATTTTCTTCAGTATTTTCTTTTACATCAAATTTTCACCCTACTAAATTAAATGTTAGTATTAGTATATTTAATTTTGTAGGAATTTTTCTTGAATTAATATTTTTTTCATTGTTATTTTAAACGAAGCTTGAAGTGAAAAGCGCGTTTAACATAAAAAAACTTAATATCATCGTAACGACAACAAAAAATCTACAAAAAAAATGTATATTAAATTTTGTGAAAATAAAAACCGTGCATATAAATTGTCAATTACTTCTAATTTTTTTCAATTGCATATAATTATTATTATTATAAGACTACCTTATAAGGGGTGTTTTTTCCAGTTAAAATATGGCACTGAACTATTTGGAAACTGGAACATCAAATATGCAATCTTGGAACGGACCACAGATGGCGGCCTACGGGTCTAACCAGACGGTTGTCGACAAAGTCCTGCCGGAAATGTTACATCTGATAGACCCTCATTGGTTAGTACACATAAAATTATTGAAATTTCATTTAAGACATATGAGTTTCTATTAACATTTCCAATGTTTTAGGTATCAATTTCCTCCAATGAATCCATTATGGTACGGCTTGCTGGGTTTCACAATTGCTGTGCTCGCCTTCACATCGATAACAGGAAATGCTATGGTTATCTATATCTTCACAACTACTAAGGTAAGTAAGGGTGTCGAAGCAATAAAATATTAAGCTTTGGTCTTGGCTTGAGAAATATAATGAGAAATATTAAATTTTTCAGAATCTCAAAACACCATCTAACTTGCTCGTCGTAAACTTGGCGGTTTCGGACTTTCTCATGATGGCTTGTATGGCGCCACCTTTGATAATTAACTCTTATAACGAAACATGGGTGTTCGGTGAGTGACTTTCAAATTACGTGCGGTTGATTACAATAGAATATGTCGATTAACCTATTTCCTTTATAGGACCATTGTTCTGTGCGATTTACGCATGTGGCGGATCGCTGTACGGAACTGTTTCGATATGGACAATGACGGCAATCGCCTTTGATCGATACAATGTGATTGTAAAAGGCATTGCCGCAAAACCAATGAGCATCAACGGCGCTCTATTACGCATTCTCGCGATCTGGCTCTCCTCTTTGGCATGGACGATTGCACCGATACTAGGATGGAACAGGTTTCACTACTTTTATATTACATCATAATATACAAACGTAACATACAAAACAACAATTAACATCAAATTTATTGCAATTAGCAATTATTACTGCTAAATCATGAGTAAAAATTTTTAGAGTGATAGAGAACTTCATGAGGGTGGCAATATAATACCATTAGTATAGGTTCATCTAATTTGACCCTATACTAATAGTGTTATATTGCCATCGGCCCATGTAAAACTAACATAAAAAATTGCAGGTACGTTCCGGAGGGCAACATGACTGTATGTGGTACCGATTACCTCAGCAAGGATTGGTGGAGCCGCAGCTACATAATCGCTTACGCTATCTTCTGTTACTTCCTACCTCTGGGCCTAATTATCTACTCCTACTTCTTCATTATTCAAGTGAGTTCCAAATAATTTACCTTCCTAAATCAGAAGCATAATGATATTATATATTCAGTCTAAGCGGATTTTTGAACATCATAGGCAGTAGCAGCACACGAAAAGGCCATGAGGGAGCAGGCAAAGAAAATGAACGTGGCTTCACTCAGATCTTCAGATGCTGCCAACACCAGTGCCGAATGTAAATTAGCTAAAGTAAGGTGTTATATCGTTATTAGGAGGTATATAATGATTTTGGTTTATTACAATTCTTTAAACTTTGACTTTTTTATCACAGGTCGCTTTGATGACCATCTCGCTTTGGTTCATGGCGTGGACTCCGTACTTGGTGATAAACTTTGCGGGCGTATTCGAAACCGCGCCTATTAGCCCAGTTAGCACTATTTGGGGTTCTGTGTTCGCCAAAGCTAACGCTGTTTATAATCCAATTGTTTATGGCATTAGGTAAGTGCTGCTCTCAACTGCTGCTATAAATAACAAAAAATAAGTTTTTTTTTTCATATTGTTTCTTAAGAATAATGTAAACAGCTTTTTGGAAATATGATTTTTTAAAAATTTAAGTTAACTATTAAAAATGACGTAAATAATAGGTCTCATCTATTTAAAAATGATCATATTTAAGAATCCTTTTCATGTATTATTTCAAAATAATAGGTAAAATTGCTTCTTAGCCATACTATGATCTATATTACTTATCATTATTTCCTTGTTTTTACAATACATATTATTATTAATATTATATTGGTACCATGATCCTATTATATTTATATGAATGTAGTGTAATAGTCGTATTTTTGTACGTAGTATTTTGTTTCGTTAGACTATTTCAAACCATTTGCAAAGAAAATACTTAAAAATTTTGTCCAAATATTGATTGCCCAATTAGTTATTTCAATCATTTGATGCCGTTTGCCTAACTATATGAATAAAGGGATACTTTTCAAATTTCAGCCACCCCAAGTATAGAGCGGCACTCTACCAAAGATTCCCTTATTTAGCATGTCAGCCATCGCCTGAAGAAAATGGCTCAGTAGCGTCTGGCAACACGGCTGTTTGCGAAGAAAAAGCACCAGCATAAACTTGAATAACTAATAAGGAAACCGACTATTGACACAACGACGGCCTTGATTCAATTTTGTTACCCGAATGATACTAATTTGTAAAATACTTATTGAAACACCAGCAAAGAAAAAGAAAAAGATTACTCGGTTATATGCAAAAAAAAAAAAAAAAAACAATTCTGTTGCATAGAAAATACTTAATAATCAAAATTGCCTTAAAGTTGCATTATGAGGATACCGTGTTTAGATTAATGTTTGGTGTATCGATGGAATATTTTTTAAGTTCCTAAAAAGGTAGACTAGCGTTACAAAAAAAGTACAAAAAAATATGAAGCATGTGTAACGTTAGTTTATCCTGTACCCTCGCGACTACTTCAATTTTTATTAGAGATAATTCGGATTGATTTTTCGACAAACGAAAGCGATGCTTAATGGGACTGAAATTGAAACATGTACTTATACATAAATAATAAATAGCGAGCAACGTGGTATGAGACTACAAACATGAGTTTTATTTATCATAAAAATGGTAACTACTCCATACCACAGGTATTCTCAAATATTAATGAAAGTAAGCGTGTATTTCTGCCCAAAAAAATCAATCCCACAGGAAACCACGTTTTAATATCATAATAAAAATTGTTGATTTAGTGGTTTGAAGTCGAAAGGAAGCAATTGATTGACAAAATGTTTTATAAAATGATTTACTTTTTGACCAAAAGACAGGCAGAGACTACTTTTTATCCCTAAAGCTACCTCATTCCTGAGGGACACCAGGTATTAACTTTACAAAATAGCTTCTGTTTTTCCTTCTTTCACGTCGAAAAGTATCAATAGATCATGATTATTATTCACGAGGATATTTTTAGGTCTGGTGACGAACATAAGGTCACAACACATAACGGAAAAAAATATTGATATACTTATGCACGCCCGTAAGGAATTATATGTTACGTACGAATAACTTAAGATTTTATCCCATATGCAATTAATTACTTTTTGTTTGTGAAAAGGATATTAATTCAAACTCTTAACTAGTTAATTACATAACTTGAAATTATAGGATGGTAATATAAATGTCACAAAGTTGTTAGTGGCTGCCACAATTATTATAAATAAAACCAAAATATTATGACAAATTTAAAAAAAACCGTACACGGGCACACCAATAGCCAAAAAACGGCATGACCACTGTCACGGTATTACGGTATTACGGTAAAACGACATGACTACGGTAATACCGTATCAAATGACCGGTACCGATGTATCTGTCGACATTAGACCGATCACGTTGTTGGGTTGTCGCTGAGTCAGTGAAGTAACTTAGACACTGATAGATGGCGCTTTAGTATTTGTAAAACTGGGTAACGATGGCAGGATGACAGGCTGCTAAAAGAACCGTAAAATCCCTTGCACTGACACAGGTGAGCTGAGCAGAGCGACAAGCTGCTTTAGATGCTGCAGAATCCACTTCGTAAACTAAGCAAAGGCAGGTCGAACAAGCGGTAAATCAAAAACCAACAGTCGCAGATAGTGTCTCTGTTTTATATTATTTATTGGTAGGCACTACTTATTTATGTGATAAACGAAATCATGGCTCACTTTTTATAAGAAAAACCAATTTAGTAAGACACCGGATTAATTGCTATTGACAATATCATAATGTAATTTACTTGAGAAAATCTGATCAATCAATGGAGAGTAATTAAAGACAGAATGTCGATCAAGAAATTTACTGAAGCATCTCGAAGACTATCTTCGTTCCTAAAGAAATCATCTGCATTTCCGTAGTTTTGTGATGACAACAGACGTCTATGCCCCTTTCAAAAATAACGATCTGCCTACTTCCAGTCTTTGTATTTTTTCTTATCTCCATTAACTGGCATAAGCAAGAATGATTTTTTATAAATTAAAGACCTAATTTGAATCTAAATGGTCTAAATGGTTAGATTATCTAAATGGTTCATTACAAGTTGATAAAGTAGGGAAAAAATGCCTAAATCCAATAACGGTTGCTTTGGGCACCTTATAATCATTGAGATAAAATATCTTGCAAATTCAAACATCAATTTGATTATTTAAGTATATATATTTTATAATGTAACAAGAAAAGTTTTTTGAGGGAGTCAGTATAAAATACAAGAATACAGATGTCGGTTCTGAAAACATAATATGAATTTTTGTCTTTGTATTTACGGCATGAGATACGAAAGAGCAAAGACATTGTATAACAGATAAAAATTGATTACAAAGAAGAAATGGTATCGTTTTAAGTATCAAATTACTTAAAACTTTGAGACACATCTTAGAATTTTCGAAGATTAAGAATCTAGTATATTTTTAAGATTCTTTACATTTATCTTACTAATGGACCATTGGATTCAATTGCTAAAGCGTTCGTGAAATTGACTGCAATAAATTTCTATTTCTTTTTCTCCTTCAGAACATGCGTTTAAAAGTATTGAATTTCAGTTTTGCTCTCTTTTTATTAATAATTCGATTATACATGCGAAAATTGTTTCTAAATAAATGTGTCTTGATTTAGAAGCGGGCTTTTGTATGTATGGTAAACATTTGTAGAAAATTACATAATTATTTCCGGTCTCAAAGAAACAATGTTTTTCAATCTGCTACTGTATATTAAAGTTTTTTTACATGTCATTATTCAAAACATTGGATACATTGGTCAAAGTATATTGTTTGAAAATAACTATCGGGAAATATAATTATATTAAATGTTTACAATTCAAAAATGTGATTGAGAAAGTTTAACATCCTTATCTTGTATAATATATTTACAAGAGCTTTGCCCTCTACTTTCATTATAAACCTTCTGACGTGTTTCTTAAAACCAAAATCTTGAGACTTCAATTTGATAGAGGGCATAGACTTACTATAGGGAACGCCCGTAATACTGCATTATTATGTTATTCACAAGCAATATTGAGTGCTGTACACGAACAAGATCGTTTGCCATATATGGCCATAACTTGGCCTTATAATTTTTGCATCGTTCATTGGCCACTGTATGGTAAGAATACCCACACAGGCCCATGTAAGCATTGACCATAGCCCAATATTTGAAATAGCAATAGGCCGCGAGAGATAAGGTTTGCTGTATTTTCCGACCATGCGATATGATTAAATTTACGAGGTAAGTAAGACTGTACCTGCGAGATTAATCTAAGTAAGTAGTAAGTAATAATAAAGAAATCTAATCTAATTATTGCTTTTTCTAACTCGAGCTTAGACAAAACAATAATTTTTAAAGGTGACACGCGTACCTTAGACCAGTGCCGTAATGGAAAGATAACTTCCGTAATGAACGAGCGTAAGCTTTTACACTGGCGTTGGCGAATGCGAGAGGCGAAATGCAGTTTTGTGGTTGCCCTTTAAATATAGATATCATCTCGCTTCCTATATAATCATCAGTTATAGTGTCCGTGTCAGAGTGGTTGTGTGCGAGGCAAGAAATGCCTTGAAAATCGCGCTGTTGTGTTATCGAGGTGGTGTGGATGAAATTTTTGGTTCTGGCGCGATGTCCGATTGTGGAATTCAGCCGCCGGGATCAATCCAAACAATTCCTCGGAACACTCCCCGTGATAAATGCGGTAGAAGATGCAAAGTGAAGGGGTAAAGAAGCCGTTAGATTTTCTGCAAGAGTTTTGAGTATCGCTCTTGCGAAAACTTTCCTTATTTGGTAAACTCTTTTACAAAATGTTAAAAAAATTAAAGTTGAGAATGTCGAAACTCACATACTGAAGTTGTAATTACTTCTACTAGTAACATTTCTCAGGAGACCCAAAGCGCTTTAATTAGTTCGGTACGCTACCTTGACTTACATTAATGATTACCGTCTTGATGTATTTCTTAAGTAGTGAAGGCCATAAAAATCTGATGATTACAAGGTAAAATAAATAAATAGGTGGTATATTTGTTTAGTCAACATTAAAATTGATATACCGTCTTGAGGCAAATCTCATATTAAAATACAGTTTGCATATCACAAAACTGCAAGCTGTATTTTCGCTTAAAGTATTAATGTGAACGTTAAATACTCCTGTCACTACTGCAAGACGTCATTGACTTATAATTAATCACAAACATCAAAAAAGTCTAAGCTGCGGTATTTACTGAAATAATATACTAGAACTGTGTTTGTTAAAAAAACTATAACTATACAAACTTTTATATCTGAAAATAATAATGGCTGAGTCTAGAACAATTAAAAATTAAGAAAATTCTGTTGTTTCATTTTGGTGGATTCCTAAATATAAAATTTTACAACATTTAATATTTAAACTCCAAATATTACAACACTTACTTCAAATATTGACAACACTTTATACAGCGATGACATAAGGAAAGAAATGCAAAGTCCGTTAGGAACGCAATTGGAGGCCCGATGGTGCCTGCGCTGTCAAAGCTGTTATACCAAAACAAGGGGGTAAATACAATACAACTGTAAAGTAATAGCTTAGAAATGTCGCACTGCTGGGCAAATGCCTCCTCTGCACAGGGGGTATCAGGGCACAGTCCACCACGCGGCCCCACTGCAGATTGGCGGATTTCATATATCTTCGAAATATTTATTTTGTTATTATTTCGAAAACATGCAGGTTTCCCCACGATGCTTTCCTTCACCGCCGAGCGCGTGATAATTCAGCACTTAAAATACAACTTTAACAGCGCTAAATTTCTCGCAGAATAATATTCTGGTCGAGTAAGGAGTACCACTCGGTACAGCTCGGCAAGATCCTTGCATGCAACTCACTGCAAGACTTAAAAAAATCCTAAGTTTTGAAACTCACTTTGGCTAAGATATCAATGTGGACATTAGTTCGTATGGTGATTGACCTCAGTCACTCTACGAACTAATGCTACCTAGACGGAGCCCACTTTTTTATACTGTGGCAACGCATCTGTAACCTTACGGGTGTTGCAAATGTGCATGGGTGGAGGTTATCACTAAATACCAGGAACCGCCCACTCTCTTGCCGTTTTCTCGCATAAA